GTAGACCCTAGTTCAACTCCTCGGTCATGCTTGTAAATAGCCAACTGGTCTGCCTCCCGCCAGTTGCGATTTTGAAGCCTATTATGTTTGTTTGAAATATTTGTTTCTTTCAGTTTAATTGGCATGACTGAGAACTAGCTAGTTGTAGCTAAGCGCATCGACCACTATAAATATTCAACATTTAATTTTTTTGAACAGCTTCTAAAAAATTTGAACAGTTCTATCCCGATATTCGAGAAACTTATTTAACTGTGCAGCAGTTGTGTGAATGAAATTCTAGTAACAATGAAATCTTAGCTAGTGAGTATGAGATTTGCCAAAAAAAAGCTTGTAATGAACTGAAGTTAGAAGTCTTTCTAATATAGTCTGGTTTGGTAATTTTCATGCTTCATTGCTTTCACGTAAACGTAAAAGTTGCTATTACTTGTAATACTTATAAAAAGCACTTTCCAAGTGCCCGTTGTATGTTTCCGAGTGTTTGTTGTCCAGCTTGATGAGGTATCGGTCTTTTAACACCGACACCTCATCAAGTTAAGTTCCTTGAAAGGAACCTTTAACATAACTATACACTAACTGAATTGCAGTAGGGACCAACTACAGATTAGTGTCCGTTGTAGGAGGTGTCCTTAATAATTAATTGTCACAAAACTAAAGCCAGCATTAAATGTCATCTATCATTTTCGTAAATTAAAGTATCTTGTCTTGGACATGTGTTGAGGTAGAATATCCCAGACAGCGGATTGTTTCACATTTTCTGTACGTATATTCCTGTACTTTATAAATCAAGTTGAGTTCAATTTGTTGTGTATTTGTGTATTTCTTTTCCGTCATTCCTTACCAAAGAACATTGCGTTCAGCTCTTTTTTGTTCACTTTTCCCATTGTGTTTCTTGGCAACTCGTCCACCACAAGAAGGACCGTGGGGATCTGGTACGGCACCATACGACCGCTGGCCCATTGCTTCAAATCAACAAGGCTCATTTTCTGTGTACAAAAAGTAAATAAGGCAGGATTCCACGGTTGCGGCCCCAAACATGAATTAAATTGATTAACACAACAAGAACATATTCATACCTTGCCGGGAGACAAAGTGACAATTGCCGCCACTCTCTCTCCCCACTCGGGATCAGGTTTGCCCAACACTGCGCAGTCTGTGATGTGATCATGTGAGAGAAGATATCGCTCAACTTCTAGAGCACTAGAGAAAAAAAGGTCAACAGCTGCTCTTAATGACTAATATTAAGGATACTTTCCACTTTCAAGGAGGGGAAAATCGATTTTTTTTCTTTTATTTAACTAAATTGAAGTCAGTCATTTTACCAGATGTTTACAGAAAAAAAAGTACTAAAAATCTCAAAAAACCTCTGCCTTATTTAGAAAAAACACACTTTCAAATAAAAGTTTATAAACAAGGAAGGCATCATAATCTGGTATATGGCTGAAACCACCGGGGGAATTTTCACGGGAAAAGCTCATGTTTGAGTTCCTTCGAATTCCTTGGAATTAATTGTTGATCTCAATTGTGTACAACGCGCATTTGATAAAATTCGCACTTGGAAGCTCTTAGTGCTCGCTCAAGTAGTCGCTTTCAAATGAAAAATCCCAAATTCCAAATCTAAATAAAGTGAAAAAAGGACACAAACTGAAACAACAGGCCCAAAGAAGAAATAAATAATCCATTTCTGTGGAGGAAAGAAAAAAGACTTTGCTGCAAGCGACAAAGGCAAGACAGATTTGAGCAAGTTTAACCAGATTATTTTACTTCTCACCTGATCTTATAACCCCCACTTTTGATGATATCTACAGATGTCCTGCCCAGGATACGGTACACGCCGTCTTTATAGACTTTGAAGGAAATACAAGACAAAATTATGCATGGCTGCCATTGACAAGCGCGCAAGACACAAATTAAATGTACTCAAAATATATTTACCAGCCTTAAAATATATATTTACCAGCAGTGTCGCCCGTTTTAAGCCAACCTTCCTCAAAGGTATCTGTGGTTGCCTCAGGTTTATTCCAGTAACTAAGAACAAACAACATAATAATGGCTACCGTGAATGAAATGGTTGGCAAGCATTCGTCGCTGATATCGCGTATGGTGTTTTATACCACACCACAGAAAACACAGCCAATCTTATCAGAATACAGCAAAGCCGTTGTATATTCGACGGTGTTACATCAAACCTTCCCATCGTGCTCTGCGCGTACGTCGCACTGATTGAGTTGTTCACTGTTTTCTACGGCATGGTATAAAATAGTTATTCAACACTTTCGAGTGCTATATCATGAAATATCCCACGAATTACTTGTATTTTCTCAGTATACACACGAGTCTACACTTTCTCATTGCATAGAGCAACAGCCGCGGTCTTGACAGAAAAAGCAGTCTACTTTTTGTTCGTACAATCATCAAAATTACCCGACCTCTTTTGTGACATTTTCTCCTGTGTCATATTTATCTTTAATTTTACACCATTATGAATGAATGAATGAATGAATGCTTTGCTTATGGAAAATTATGTTTGGAAAATCCAGTAATTAAATCAGTCCGTGCTTGTGATTGGTCACTGAGGTTCCCGCGGGGGTCTGAATTCGCGGAGAATTCAAACTAAAAGTAGATGGGTCTGTGAAAACGGCGCGACAGGAATATGGGGGAGTTGCACGCTCCTAGTGATAGGCTCTTGCTAATACCTTAGTCTTCGGCGCAGCCCTGTCACGCAACGCCCCTCTCTACGGGTGGGGAGGGGCGTTGCGTGACGACTCAAATAACGTCAGCGAATGAGACGACTGAGACATGTCGACACGTTTATCGCAGAATGTCTTTTACATTAAAGGTACGGACGGAAAATAACAATGACTTTCTGAATATATATGGGCATCATAAGAATATGTCGAATAATTTGGTAAGACAATACAACAGAAGATAGAGCTTATGTGTGGTTGATGCCGAATTTGAAAACTGTAAACAGCCTGAGTCGAAAGCTATGATTTCCTGCCTACAAGCTGTGCGCGAATTTCCAGGACAAGTTCTCTAACCCTGAAGATTGAATGACCTTGTGGCACATTCTTAATAATTGTCAGCAGACTCTCACGCGTGACCGTTCTCACGATTGTTTGATAAGAAACAGCACTTGACCATTTATAAATTCATTGCGCTAACCATTTAAATACTGATGGTCCGCGAACTTGAAGTTCTCCTTCTTTTCCTTCGTTGCCAGGGGAAACGACAGAACCGTGTTCGTTCCCTTCAACTATAACCTGGAAGCAAAGACGGATGGGATCACTGAGCTACAATTTGAGAGATACATGGTAAGGCGAAGTACAGTTAAGTTGGCTGGGATACTCAGGCCCGGTCCACATTACGCCGGAGAAAGTTAAAGGAGGAGAAAACGCAGCTTTATTTCTACGGTTAGGCCTACCGTCCACACTAATCCGTTACGAAAACGGAGCTTTTCAAAAACGCTCTTCAAACCGGAGGAATTTGAAAAAGCCAGCTTTGCGGTTTTCTGTGCACAGAGAACATTTTGAAAATGGAGCTTTTCAAAAACGACGACGTGACGATAATAATGTGATTTCCCTGTTCTCGTTTTCCTCAAAAAATCAAATCCAAAATGACAGGTGATTGTTGCGTTCTCAATTCCTCCAGCGTGGTGTGGACGGAAAACATTTGATGCGCTTTTAGAGTAAAACCTCCGTTTTTAAGTTTTTCTTCCATGCTGTTGTCTATGGCACATTTCGCGCGGAACTGGGATTTGTATATTTTTTTTTCACAGGCAAATTTGGAATTTGGGCCCATGGGTATTGACCCTTCAAAGTACAAGTGATGGAAAGAGATAGAAAATGGTGTCAGCCGCCTTAGGTAGACCCTACTGCCTTGATACACTAGTTAAATTATATTCTATCTCAGTAATACCTCACTGTTTCCTTCCTTATTCTGTGTCACAATCCGAACCTCTGTTCCAGGCAAAGGTGTTCCTACACAACCCTAAAATGTCATGAAAATGGGATGAAGTTTCCTGCAAGTCTCAATAAGAATTTCTATCATGTGTCGTGAGAACAATGTGTTAATCAATACTCCTTCTGAAATAATTTGCCTTAGCTGAATTAGAATATTTGACTTCAATGAGCTTTTGTACTTTTCTCAACTAGTGTTTAGAAAGTCTTGTAATTTTTCAGTCCTGGAGAGAGGTGCCGTGATGGCTCTGAAAGCTCGTAGTAGTACATGTATAGTGTAAGTAACTGTTTTAGTATACTAAGTAGAGTAAGTAGATATATTATTTCATAAGTGGTGTAAGTAGGTAGACTAGTACTATAAGTAGTGTAAGCACCTGCATTGTATTGTGAGTAGTATGAATACCTCTTACTAACCGGGTTCGAGAGCCATACTGTAAGTTAAGGACCGAGTTTTTTCCCCATCGATTTATGGCTCAAGCGCAAAGCGCATGGGCCATAAATCGAACGGGAAAAACGAGGATCCGTAATATACAGTACGCACCGAGAAGACGGGGTTAGCAAGATATTTATTATATCTCTACTGTGTGTCTGACGGGTTCAGGAACGATTTCTTTTCACGCGGAACGGCTTCAAATTTCTGACGCACCTTGAATGCAAAACGAGTCAATTTGAAATCGTTGTTAAGTGACTCTTAAGTCGTTAGCAGGTTTTAATACACAATTTCAGAAATAAAAGAAATTTTCAAACTTTTTCTTGCTAAAAAAGTTAAGAATACTTGGCAATAAATCACGAAACATTTTGGCGACAAAAACAGCTTTAAATTTTAGCGGGCCGTACAGTAGCATACGTCCGCTAAACTGACCAATTACAGCGCACGTACGAGCTGAGAGATATACTAAGTGACCGTATTTGTATATTGTAAAAAGTCTGAGTGAAAATGAATTTTAAAAAATGTCTTACCGGTAATCTTGATCCATGTAAGGGATTGGACAGAGCCATTCCTATCTCTGTCATTCCATATCTTTCCAGCAGTGTATGTCCTAAGTAAACAGAAATCAAAGGATGTCTGGAGAACCCAAAACACTGAACAATGGACAGAATAGAATGGTGGTGAATAGTCAACATTAACACTAGCACTTTAGGTGGACTAAATAGCACTCTGGAAGTGAAGTGCTCGAAAGGAGCACAAAATGGAGTACATGTATCTAAGACAGAAGATACGGGCACATAAGATTACTGGCAGGCAGTCTTTTCTCTTAGGGTCACTTAAACAACTGTTAAGCCATCATGAACACAAAAGGGCAGTATGGCCGAGAAGGGATGGGGTGAGATGTGTGTGCTGCATCCATGCCTCATAACCCCTGCTGAGTTTCAAGAGAAAAACAGAGTGCCAGAAGTCTATGAACACATGGATTAATATGTGAAACAAAGAAAAAGACTAAGACAGACAATAGACCAGTTTCGTATTCTCGGTATTGGACTG